CAAAACTAGACCAAGAAGATATAGAAAATTTGAATAGACTGATCACCAGTAAGGAGATCGAAACAGCAATTAAAAACCTCCCAAAAACTAAAAGTCCAGGACCAGATGGCTTCCCTGGTGAATTCTACCAAACATTCAAAGAAGACTTAATACCTATCCTTGTCAAACTCTTCCAAAAAATTGAAGAGGAGAGGAGGCTTCCTAACTCATTCTACAAAGCAAACATTATCCTGATACCAAAACCAGACAAGGACAACACAAAAAAAGAAAATTACAGGCCAATATCACTGATGAACATCGATGCAAAGTCCTCAACAAAATACTAGCAAATCGAATACAACAATACATTAAAAAGATCATACATCATGATCAAGTGGGTTTCATTCCGGGGATGCAGGGATGGTTCAACATTTGCAAATCTATCAAGTGATACACCACATTAACAAAATGAAGAATAAAAATCACATGATCATCTCAATAGATGTAGAGAAAGCATTTGACAAGATACAGCATCCATTTATGATAAAAACTCTAAATAAATTGGGTATAGAAGGAACATACCTCAACATAATAAAGGCCATATATGACAAACCCACAGCAAATATCATTCTCAATGAAGAAAAACTGAAAGCTATCCCTCTAAGAACAGGAACCAGACAAGGATGCCCACTGTCACCACTCTTATTTAACATAGTATTGGAAGTCCTAGCCAGAGCAATCAGGCAAGAAAAAGAAATAAAAGGGATCCACATTGGAAGAGAAGAATTGAAACTGTCACTCTTTGCAGATGACATGATTTTATATCTAGAAAACCCTAAAGAGTCCACTAAAAAGCTTTTAGAAATAATAAAGGAATACAGTCAAGTTGCGGGATACAAAATCAATGTGCAAAAATCTGTTGCATTTCTATACACTAACAATGAAGTAGCAGAAAAAGAAATTAAGAATACAATCCCGTTTACAATTGCAACAAAAAGAATAAAATACCTAGGAATAAACTTAATGAAAGAGGTGAGAGATCTGTACACTGAAAACTATAAAACATTGTTGAAAGAAATTGAAGAAGACACAAAGAAATGGAAAGATATTCCGTGCTCTTGGATTGGAAGAATTAACATTGTTAAAATGTCCATTCTTCCTAAAGCAATCTATAGATTCAACGCAATCCCTATCAAAGTTCCAACAACATTTTTTACAGAAATAGAACAAAGAATCCTAAAATTTATATGGAACAACAAAACACCCCGAATAGCCAAAGGATTCCTGAGAAAAAAGAACAAAGCTGGAGGTATCACACTCCCCAATTTCAAATTATACTACAAAGCCATAGTAACCAAAACAGCATGGTACTGGCACACAAACAGACACACAGACCAATGGAACAAAATTGAGAGCCCAGAAGTAAACCCACACGTTTATGGACAGCTAATATTCGACAAGCGAGCCAAGAGCATACGATGGAGAAAGGAGAGTCTCTTCAATAAATGGTGTGGGGAAAACTGGACAGCCACATGCAAAAGAATGAAAGTAGACCATTCCCTTACACCATGCACAAAAATCAACTCAAAATGGATTAAAGACTTGAATGTAAGACCCGAAACCATGAGACTTCTAGAAGAAAACATAGGCAGTACACTCTATGACATTGGTCTGAGCAGCATATTTTCAAGTCCCATGTCTGACTGGGCAAGGGAAACAAAAGGAAAAATGAACAAATGGGACTACATCAAACTAAAAAGTTTCTGCACAGCAAAGGAAACCATCAACAAAACGAAAAGCTAACCTAACAATTGGGAGAAGATACTTGCAAACCATATATCAGATAAGGGGTTAATATCCAAAATATACAAAGAACTCATACAGCTCAACAACAAAAAACCCAACAATCCAATTAGAAAATGGGCAAAAGATCTGAACAGAGATTTCTCCAAAGAAGAAATACAGGCCAACAGGCATATGAAAAGACGCTCAACATCATTAGCCATCAGGGAAATGCAAATCAAAACTACAATGAGATATCACAACACTCTGGTCAGAATGGCTATAATCAACAAGACAGGAAACAACAAATGTTGGAGAGGATGTGGAGAGAAGGGAACCCTTGTTCACTGCTGGTGGCAGTGCAAACTGGTGCAGCCACTATGGAAAGCAGTTTGGAGTATCCTCAGAAAATTAAGCATAGATCTACCATATGATCCAGCTATTCCACTGCTGGGTATTTATCCAAAGAACTTGAAAACACAAAAGCATAAGGATACCTGCACCCCTATGTTCATTGCGGCATTATACACAATAGCCAAGACTTGGAAGCAACCTAGGTGCCCATCAAGGGACGAACGGATAAAGAAGATGTGGTATTTATACATGATGGACTACTACTCAGCCATAAGAAATGACGAAATCTGGCCATTTGTGACAACATGGATGGACCTTGAGGATATTATGCTGAGTGAAATAAGTCAGAGGGAGAAAGTCAAATATCATATGATCTCACTCATAAGTAGAAGATAAAAACGACAAAAAAAAAACAACCATATTTCATTGGAGATTGGACTAGTGGTTACCATTGGGGAAGGGGGGTGGGGAGGGAAAAGGGGTGATTAGGGTCGCATGTGAGGGGATGCACTATAATTAGTGTTCGGGTGGTGAACATGATGTAATGTATCCAGAATTTGAAATACGATGTACATCCAAAAAAAATAAAAATTTAAAAAAGAAAAAAGAACAGAATGGCATTAATTCCACTTTGTCTCAATCCTGGAAGCTAGAAGACAGTGAGGCAATGCTTTCAAAATTCCAAGAAGAAATGATTTCTATTCTAGAATTCTGTTCTTAGAAAGTTGACTAAGTGTGAGGGTAGAATAACGACTTGTCAGGACGTGCAAGATTTCAAGAAAATTTACCCCGGGAAGAAATCACTGAGGAAACTCTTACTGGATGTACTCTGTGAAACAGAAAGGGGACCATAGAAGAAGAAATGGACTACATAGAGAGGAGATTTACACAAATGGGATAGAGTTTGGGTGTACAGTAGTAATAAATACAGAGAGAAAAGCATGCATGCACACACACACAACTCCAGGACAACGATGAGTTCCAGGGAAAACAAATATTGTGCAAGAAAGAAAAGGAAAACAAAATATTGTGCCACAAAGGAAGAGTAATCATAGTTTATGTGACTCAGCTGTGAACAGCATTTGCAAACATAATTATGTAAACACGGAATCCTGTTATAACCAAACTATATATATCAAATATATATTGATATTGAGAAGATGGAAAGATGGTCAATGTGTCCGAATGCGGTAGGGGTACAATGGCTGGGGAGGTTTATGAGAACATCCTCCATGAAGGGATGTGCATAGACAGTGCTTCAAACGGGACTGCAGGAAGACGAACACAGCCATGCCGTTTGGAGACATGAAAGCAAATGCCAAAAGAATGTGCTAAACTTGCGGATAGTGGGTTGCCTCTGGGGAGAAGAAAATGTTAAAAAGTCTCTGCTGCTTTTCAGCAAAAGCCTTGTAGAACAATTTGGCTTTGTACCTGTGATTTTGATAGAAACAAAACCCCACAAGGAAATTAGAAAAGGGAGCGCGCATTGATCTCTAAGCAGCCGCAGAGCCCCGGTAAGGATTGAGAAACAGAGCAGTAACTCAGACGTGAACAACAACACAGATGTGGTGGGGAGGGGTGGCTGGATATCTTCAATGACACCTTCGTCCTGCAAGTGAGCTACGGAGACCTTGCTTTTGAAAACTTGACACTTCTGTTGGAAAACCACTGCTCTCTAACCAGCCTACTGCTATATTGCTGTAAAAAGATGAAAAGTGTATGAGTATGTGTCTAGGGGAGGACATATGGATAATAATTTGAATTAATGAATAAAGATTTTTGCGTTAGCTTGGGTGGCTTGAGAATTAATTACAAATTTGATTAAAGAGATTTGAGTTCATTAAAAGTTAAGTGTTCTTATTTCTAAGAATGTTGATCTCAGTTAGTAAATTGAGGTTCTCTGTTCTTGAGTGTGTCCAGCCCGAGATCCCTGAGCTGAAGCTAAACCAGGTTAAGTGCATCCTTTCTCTCGCCCTGCTCTCGTCCTAGGAGTCATGCTTAACTTCCATGTACGTGCCGCTGATGAAATCTCTTTAATCCTCCCCATTTTCCCCTCAGGCCTGCTGCACCTGCTGAATGCTGTGGATTTTTAATTAAGCTAGAGTTGATGATGTATGTGCAGTTATAGATTCTCTGAGATTCAAATGGGTTTTCTGCTCCTGTTTGGAAAGCCCTTTCTAATGAAGGCTGAGATAAAGCTCCTTGAAAAATGAAAGCGTGAAAGAGCATGCACTTTAGAAGAATGGAAATACGTTGTTATCATAGTCAATATTAACAGAAATAAGAGCTATGGGCCAAAACCAAGTTTTGTATTGTGCTGCGGATTTCCATTTGCCCCGCCGCTCCCTTGTTTTTTCTGCTTTTCCCTGCCCTTTGTACACAGGAGTCTAACCTTCACTGGCTTGCTGCACTTGACTTCTGGTTAGGAGCTTGGGGTCAGCAGGGGAAGACAGGTGGGCTGGCTGCAGGCCTCAGGGGCAGCTGCTCTTGCCTTGGCTTCCAGCTCGCTCTGGGCTCCACAACATGGCTCCCTCCCTCTGTCCCTTCAGGCCCAAGGGCATGACAGCTCCCACAGATACTGGTCACTATCTTCTGTTGGTTCAGTGAAACCCGTCCACACATACCCTCTGAATAGTTGTTTAATTAAACTCATTTCAATTAGACTTTCTGATTGCATCGTCTGTTTTCTTCCAAGACCCTGACTGATATGAGTCTGGTTTTTAGCCATGTCATCTATTTGTCTCCCAGTCTCCCTACCAACTTATGAGTCCCTGAGGACAGTGGCTCTGACTCACTCATCTTTGTGTCCCTGCTGTCTAAAACATGACCTGGTGGTTTACAGGCAGTCACTATATGCTTGACAAATGAAACAATGTACCAATCACTGAATTCCTATACGTGGTGCTTTATTTCAGAGAAAAAGTTGAGGTTATTTAACACATCCAGACAAGTAGACAGGAGTGCAGGTTGTATGTTGGGTAAAGAAACGTTTACCACTGACCGTATACAGTCATTCACATGGAGGTCAAGCCTCCTTCCCCTACCCCGCACAGACGTCATTTGTGGGCCTTCCAAGACCACTTCTTCACAGACTGTCCCGTCTGAAGATGTTGGGTGATGACGTGAAACAGAAGCTCATATGCACAAGACACGGAATGGCTTTGACACAAGGCTGCCCTTTCAGATGCTTCAGCCATTATCAGAATGTTCCATTTCCAGGAGCTTAAACCGTAATGTTCATTATTGCCTCATAAAAATTCTGGAGGCTTGGGGTCCTTCTTTGCTGCCGCCTCACAAGGCTAGCTTTTGTCCTGGCCACACCCTGCCCTTCCCAGGCCACAAGATGGCGGCCACTGGCCCAGGTGCCATCTTCACATGAGCCCACCAGAAGGCAGGACGGGAGGTTCTTTCATTTGCTTTGTTTTCTTAGGGAGGCCTTCGGCAGACGCGCCCTCTTGTCCTTTGGCCTTGATTGGTTATGGGCCCTGAGAGGCTGGGGAGGTGAATACCTGGTTCTCAGCCTCTAGGATGGGAGGCAATCTCCACCAGCAAGACAGAAGGGGCAGAGGAAACGCTGTTGGATAAACAACCAATAGTGTCAGCAACATAGATCAAAACAGCAGGGGAGATGCCACAATCGCTGCTGGTTCCACACACGCTTAATTGAGACAGTTATTTTATAGATGGGCTTACATCCGTTCTACGTGCAGCTTGGTTAATTTGAGCAGAGAAACTCCGGCGGCAAAAACCATGGTGGCTTCAGCCTGTCCCTCTGTGAGATGAGACTGATGCTGACAGCCACTTCACAGAGGAATACAGGTGACAAGTCAGTGTATACAAAGGCGTCCTTTAGCCCACAGACGAAAGCTGGCACAAGCTCTAGAAATACACACCTTGGTACTTGACACCCTTCTCACTTTACTGCCAGTTGTATTTTCATGGTTTATCAAATTTACTTGCATTTTATGATAATGGCAGCTGACATGCCAAAAAAGTTAATCCTTGTCAGCAATTCTGCTGTAGGTCTTATTTTGCCAAAGAATTGATTAAGCAATAAAAGTTGTCTGCAGGTTAAAGCTTATGGTAAAATATCATGACAGGTGAGGTGCTATTATTCTCTTTCAATTAAAGAAAAAATGTAAACATTTTTTTTTTTACTGTTTGAAAGAGGAGAGAACAAACATTTATCGAGTTCCCTCTGTAAGCTACACATTCTTGCATATAACTTCATGGACCCTCACAACAAGCCTGTGTGTGTGTGTGTGTGTGTGTGTATAGGTGTGGTGTATGTGTGATGCGTGTGTGGTGCATGTGTGGAGTGTGTGTACATGTGTATGGGATATGTGTCTGTGGTATGGTTTGTATATGCAGTATGTGTGCAGTTGTGTGTAGTGTGTGTGTCATGTGGTGTGTGTGTGTGTGTGTGTGTGTGTGGCTTGCAGGCCCCTTTGTACAATGAGGGAGCTGACACTCAAGACACTCAAGAGAGCTTATACAGTTCATCGGTGTTAAAGCTCAGATTCAAAACCAGGTCTATTCAAGATTTTTGACCACTCCACCCCCGCCCCCACCTCCCCCACCCCCCACCCGGACTGTGTGGATGGTTCAATGACTATGTGGCATTCTGGCAAAGAGATTTGGAGTCCCTTACAAAGCTGAGTTGCAGGGTAATGGGTGAATGTATGAGCTTGCCTGGGCTGCCGTAACAAAGCCCCACAATTTGGGTGTCTTAAAACAACAGAAATGTGTTGTCTCTCGGTTCTGGAGGCTAGACATCTGAAAGCAAGGGGGCAGCAGAGTTGGTTCCTACTGGAGGCTCCGAGGGAAGCATCTGCTCCAGGCCTCCCCCTAGCTTCCGGGGCTTGCCAGCGATATTTTGCATTCCTGGGCTTGTAGACACATCTGTCTGGTCTGTCTCCATCTTCGTGTGGCCTTCCCCTCTCTGAGTGTCCTCTCCTCTTATAAGAACAAGTCACTGGATTTAGGGTCCACTCTAATCTAGTATGACCCATCTTAACTAAACTCAATGCATCTGTAAAGAACTATTTCCAAATGAGACCACATCCTGAGGTGCTGGGGAGACATGAGTTTTTTTGGGGGGGGGGTGTACCCTGTTCAAACCAGTGGGCTTTGAGTAACTGAGAAATTGAGAGAATCTGACTTCACCTGACATGTGAGCAGCCAGGAAACATCTAGAAAGGGCAGAGTTAGATCCATTCTTCAAATTCTTTCAACAAATACCTATTGAAAACCTACTCGGTGCTCTGAGCTCTGGGATACGAGAGTGAACAACATGGAAAAGGTCCTCCTGGCTTTCTCATCTGTTCTGTGATTTGTTTCCTTACCACGCAGGCTAATGGGGCAGGTGGCATGTGCAGGCAGGAGTGAGCTGGAGCCAGCACTTCTCCACGGGACCCTGCTCTCCTTCATGCTGGCCCAGGATAGAGACCGCGCACCACCACCATCAGTAGTCACAACACTCCTCATGTTTCACACGACGCTCCTGCGCACATCACCGTATTTAATTTTCTTGAAAACTCCTAGAAATGGGTATTATTGTGTCTGTGAAAAGAACGAGTAAGCGATGAAGCTGGGACTGAAAGCCAGGTCCTCTCATTTGTAAACCTTTGGGTTTCTTCCCACGGCTTTTGCAGCCAGACAGATACCAGAAAGGTATGGAATCGCCATCAGATGATGGCGCATAATGGGGACGATGATGAACTGGAGACTGCAGATAATACATAGAGACTCAAATCCAGCTTTTAGAAACCGCTGTGTGGATGTACACCTGGATTACAAATGCTGTGTCTTTTGACTCAGTGACGCCACTTCTAGGGATTTGTCCTACAGATACACTCCCACAAGTGTGAAACGACTTTAAAGCCGTCAGTCAGAGACTGGCTAAATAACTGTTGGTTTATCTGTACAAAAGATTAGTGTATGGCTATTAAAAATGACTCCATTTGTTAATGTACTAATACGACTGTCTCCAAGATACACAGTAAAGTGAAGAAAGCATTTGTGCAGAACTGTACGTATCGGCCTGCACATTCATGGAACGTCTCTAAGGATATGCAAGAAACTGGTCATTGATTGCCTCCAGGGAGGGATTTTTTCCACAAATTCCCTTTTATAAATTTTGATTTTTGAACCATGTGAATGCATTTCCTATTTTTTTTTTTTTAAGACTGAGGTACCCTTCTTTTTCTTTTTTTTTTTTGCTGGGAAAGATTTGCCCTGAACTAACATCTGTTGCCAATCTTCCTTCTCTTTTTTTTTCCTCCCCAAAGCCCCAGTACATAGTTGTACATTCTAGTTGTAAGTCTTTCTAGTTCTTCTACGTGAGCCGCTCTGCCACACCACAGCATGGCTACTGACAGATGAGTGGTGTGATTCCGTGCCCGGGAACAGAACCTGGGCCGCCAAAGTGGAACACGCCCAACTTTAACTGCTGGACCATCAGGGCTGGCTCTGCATTTCCTGTTTTAATAATTAACTAAAATACTGCATAGGTCAAATGAAACACAGGGAGGGGGTCTGTGTTGTGACCCTTTCCCTGGGCCCAAGGCTGTGTCACGGCCACCATTCAATCTTTTGCTGCACCGCATCCCGACTTCGCACGCAATTGGGCTCATTAAACACGTAGTGTGTTGACCCAAACCATTTCATGCTTTCAGCTTTGCGGGTCAATACTTGAGGCTGTTTTGGCCCAACACTGGACTCATTATCTGCAGAGCGGCCTCTCTCTGAGTAGCATTTCCTCCCTCCCAGCTGTCCAAGGTCACGCTCGGTTTCCTCTTGCCTATCTCCCTCTCTGTCGCTGCGCTCCCTCTGTCCCAGCCCGCACCCCAGCACACCCACACACATGCCTCCTCTGTCCCCGCGTCCTCACTTTCTAAATGCCCGAAACTCCCCCCTTGCCACCCCGGCCCTGCCCTAGAGGAGGGTCTTCTTACCTTGAATTTATGCTGTGGCCTTGGCCTCCTGACTCTCCAGCTTTCTACCCCTTTTCCCCTTCTGTAGACAGTTCTACCCCCTTCTTCCAGGACTGTCTGAAGACACAAATCTCATTCTGCCATTTCCATGCTTAAAAATCCTTTGACTCCCAAGCAAGAGTTCATCCTCTTCAGCATGGCGCAGGGGGCCTCTCACAAGCTGCCACCAGCTGGTTTTCCCCTCCCCACCCACCCCTTCTCTTCTCATCTCCATGTCTCCCTCCTAACCGTCTCCTCCACCTTTGGTGTCCATCAGGTCGGCGTGGATCTGGCTTTTATGGGGCCGGAAACTTAACTGCTGCAGGGGAGGGCCTCTTTAAGAGAATGAACACAAAACTGCTGATGCAAAATTCTACATGAAATTGAATGTGTATTTACAACAAAAAATCAAAACAAATTACACATTTTTAAAAGTCTTGGAATATGCAGAAAATAAGATGATATTTTCATTAATTAGCTATGCAACATACCTTTATGCTGCACGCTTTGTTATATGGCACTGACCCTTTATTGTGTTTTCTATAAAGAGAACAGAAGAGAATGCCATCCTTCCTCTGCCATGGGATTTGAAAATTCCTTTCATTATGGATAATTAAGTGAAGTTTCACTTTCATAACTTATTGTTAGTCCTGTCGTGCTAAGAAGCAACCTCTAGGTTGAGATGCATCAAACGTATGACCTCACGCACAGATGTTCTTGCTACCTGTAGTGCTGCTACAGGCTTGGGCTTGACAGACACTGGGACTCTGGTCCATTCGGACTATATGGTGCATTTATAACAGCACGTGCTGCATTCGTTGCAGGTGGTCACTAACGCCATCCTTGTCGTGGGCCAGTTATGAACTGAGAGGAAGGGCAGACCCCCAGGGGGAGTCAGGAGGAACTGGCAAAGGTCCAAGGGCAGAGGAAGTCCAGGTCCAGCCCAGCAGCAGACCTGTGTCCCCAAAGTGAGACAACAGACACTGGGCAAGCAGCAAGTAGGGGCCACCTCGCACTAGAGAAGCTTACCTTAGATGAGCAAGCAGCATGGCCCCAGGCAAGTTCCTTAACTTCCAGAGCTCCACTTTCTGACCTGTAAAAAGCAGACGAGACTTGCCTGCCAGTGTTCAATGACGCAGCGAAGGCACAGACCTAACCCTGTGCAGACTCTTCCTACTGAGGCTTCCCCTCCTTCCCCCTCCCTCGCAGATGGGGGAATCCAATCAGGCTGTCCTCAGCACAGCAATGGGCACATCATCCTAGGCCCGGGCTCTCCACGGCCACCCACCTGGCCAGGTCCGGAGTATGGTAAGGAACGCTCCAACCTTCTGCAGGTTCAGGTATGTCCTGGAAAGAGAGAAGCCCTCAGCCTAACTCGTTGGGAACCTTATGGCCTTCCTTCCACCGAGGCGGTGGTAGGCCTCATATGGTTTCATAGGTCTGGTACCACAAATGGACAAAATCAGGGCTCTTTTTATTTCTTCCACCACTTGCCTCTCTAGATTCCAAAAGCACATATTTGTTGTTAAAAGTCATCTCGAGAGATTAGTCCCACTCATTTGTGTTTCAGGTGAAAAACTAATCTATACCTGCAATGAAAAGTTAACTCCGTGTGTGTTGTTTCCATAGGATTCAGGCTTCTTTGGGGATAACTATGATTTGCTACACGGATCGTTGAGTTTTATTTCCCATATAATATACATTTAATAGAAAAATTCTAGAGAAATGTCTGAGCCCAACAGGTGGCTTGAGCACATCAGGCAAGAGTCATCAAGGGACTCATTTCTGGCTGCATGGGTGCAGCCAGTAGTCGCTATACCTTGGGAACCTGTGAAGTTCCCCAGCAGGAGGTCACCCCGTCTACCTCCTTGTGACGCACCCCAAAAAGGAACTGGAGCTTAGAACATGAATAAAAGTCATCAACATTGAAAAAGACAATAAGAAAAATGAGGAACCAGCATAAGTTTCTACCAAATGGCGAGAGACTCAGGCCAAAAGTCACCTCCAGATGCCCCAGTGCCACGTAGTATTCTGGCTGGGCCTCTGCAGTAGACACGCACAGCTGTGGGAGAGAAATGCCAGCGTCAGTGCCAGAGGCTCTGTCTGGTGTCTTTGCAAGAAGAATGGGCAAAGAGATTTTGGAAGTGTCTCCGTGGAGTCTCCTCCTGTGTGAGCAGCCACCAGAGCTGGGGCACCGAGGAGCAGGCCGGATAAACCCAGGAGAATGTGGCCCGGTGAGTACAGAGCTCAGATTAAACACAACCCCAGATTCTTTAGGGCATGAGCATTTGGGCTCCTTTGCTCAAAGGGGGCTGTCCTCGGGAGGAGGAGGGGTGGGCGGGTGGCCCTCAAAGATGGCAGCTTTGGCCCTCGTGTGTGGAGAAGGCAGAGGGATGCAAGAAGAGTGATGGCTGGTATGGCTTGGCATCTGCCAGGACAGAACCCTTCCTGAGCGGCAGGTTGTAGAGCCTGGTCTGGAAGGAAATGACAACAGCCTCTTCCCACCGCCTTGCGACCCTGCCCTCCACCCCTCAGGAGTGAGCCCATACCTTCCCCCGGGTGCCTGTGTCCCCCACTCCTCTCCTAGCCAGAGAAGGCTCTGTTCTCCACTGATTCCTGCCATCTCTTCCCCTCCCTCATCTTGCTTCTGAAACAAGCAAGGCAGAAGTTCAACAGCTATCGCTCTCTGTTTCCTGCTGAGCTCCCACTCCATGCAGAAGCCCTGCGCTAATTGCTGGAGCAGTGAAAAGGGGCAGAAAGGGCCTAAAGAGGTGTCAAATCCTGGCCCTATTCTCTAGGAGCTTATTGGGGTCAAAAGACGTAAATAATAACAACACAAGGTGATGAGGCCAAGTCGTGTGGGTATGAAATGAACTTGCTCTCTGGCCCCCGGAGCCATTCTGCAGTAAGAACTCACTGATGTGGACCGGGGCAGCTTGGACTCCTTGCAAGCACTGGATTATAAGGCTGGCTGGACTAGTCACGTGATCTTGAGTGAGTCACTCAGCTCAGTTATTTCACCTGCAACATGCAGGTAGCGTGACTCCCATAGAGTCACCGATGCACGGATACTGGTCTGAGTGGTCAGAAGACCTCAGATCTTTTTCTTGCTCTGCCAACAACAGTGGCATCTTGTATCCTCAGCCTCCTGGACCTTAACTTCCTCTCCATAACATCATAGTGTGATGGTCTCAAAGGCTTTCCAGCTCCAAAACTCTAGGATGTTCTAATGAGGTATGTATGTGAAAGCTATAAGACATTACATGTCTGTAAAGTGTTATTATGTTATTACTACCTCTGGCAATAAAGATTTCATAAGGGAAGTGGAATTTGTACTTGGCCTTGAATGAAGCGTAGAGGTTGGATTGACAGCATTGTGTACAAGGCATGACAGGTAAGCTGGAAAAAGAAGGAAGAAAGGAAAGGCTCTGACTGGGGGGCAAGCTGAGGGATGACAGGTGCTGTGAGGGGAAGCTTGGGCTCATCCATGACATTCTTCTGTGACAGGGACTCAGGAAGGAGGGTCACCTTCTGAAAACACCTCAGGGGCCCTGGCCAAGGGCACAGAGGCCACATTTCCCAGTGGCCAAGCGCCATGAGCATAACAGCCTGTTCTCAGGGTGAAAGGAAACAGAAGGCAGGCTGAGGCCCAACACCAACCCCTCTTCAAAGAGAAGTCTGAAAGGAGATTGTGCGATTTTGGTTGACTGTCCTTGAAAGTTTTAACCTCACCGCAAGCCCTCGTCTGAGTATGCCAGAGGCTCCCTCTTCCTGGGGCCTTAGAAACCACTTCTCAAATGGGGAGCGGCTGCGGGAAAAATGCCTACTTTTATGAAAGTCCATTTTTCAGTGCTTGGCACGTGGCACCGAGAATTTTGCAGGCCTCATTGGCATTGAAGAAGTCACAGGCTGTGTTGCTAACACTGCATTTGAAGCTGTCACTGCAAGGAGAAGCTGTCTTTGGTGTGGGAGCCTCTCACATCTAATTACCATTCACAGACACTACTCAAAACTGTTCCTGGATGCTTAAGCTGTTACACTGGTTTCTTCTAAAATAACGTCCTGCGATTATTTTGTGTGCGTGAGTGGACAGCCTGCAAGGATGCCTATCTTGTTTTTGTGGAGCTGGTTTATGCAAAGAAAACAGCAGAGTTCAACAGAAAAGGAAGTGCTCTTTCATGGCGAGCCATGAGTATGCTTATCGGAGTGAGTAGTGACTGTTTGGGTGAGCCTGGTACATTTTCAGGCGGTTACTATCCTTCTTATATCAACCACAAAGGAGCACAGGCTTCAGGTTGTTGTCCCCAGAGAGGAAATAGCTTTCCAGCCCTGGAACGTGGGGCATTGCCTCCCAGCATCACTGTCATTCTCCCCAAGATTTCTCAGGCGCCTCAATCACCAACATCCTGAGCTAGAGCTGTTTAAGCTGCTGCTGGCATTGTGCCGGGAAAACACACACACAGGTTCTGCAAATAGGGTGGAGAGAGGCAGAATGTAAATGGACCCATCGTATTTAGCCCCTTCTCCCTGACATCAGCCAGCAGTTGAATCTGGCCATGGGCAAAGGGGCCACCAATCTCAGGTGTTAACACCTCTTAACACAGTAGAGCTGCTGGGCAAGAGCGTGTGATTGCAACCAACAAGCACACAGGAGTAAACATACGGAGGAGTGCACTTCCAGGGCCTGATGGCTATGCCAGGATGCAATGACTGGAGCGAGGCTTCCAGTCTATCACAACAGGGACACGGGCAGACTCTAGACACCAGTGCAAGGGGTCTCCTTCGAAGGGATATTAGTTTAAAATGTTTCCCATGATGTCATCCTCATTTTAAACCAGAGTCTAAAAACACAGTGAAAAAGATTTAAATTAAATATGCAACATGACAGTGGACAAGAGTTCTGAGTCTCGGCAACCCTGCCCAGGACCGAGAAGGAAGGGCAGGGAGAGGAGAGGTGGAGGAGCGGCCCCGCGCTCCCTCTGACCTGGCATCAAGCAGCGATGAAGAGAACCAGAGACCTTGTCACTGGCGCACATGTCTATTTCCCAACCTGGTGCCCCAGAGCAGGGCACCCCGAGAGAACCACGTCCTGTAAGAATGCCCACGTGCAAAGCCTCCTGTCGTGTACACGCCTTGTTCTGAAATAGCCGAACCCAACCAGTTCATTGCTGTTTTGTGATTTAGGGAATGTCAAAAAAGCAGATCTGTGTGAAGTATTTCATGAAATCCAGCACCAGGGGAAAGCCTTCAAGATGCCACATCATCTCTCCCTTTTAGGGTTCATTAGCCAGAGGGACCAACTGCCAAAGCTGTCCCCTGCTTCCTCTCTTAATCTCCCCGCTTCGTGCTGTGCTGTCACATTGGAAATTTCTAGCATCTGAATAATCCGATTAAGTTGTCTCCAGCCAGCCATCACCAAAGTGAAAGCATATTACCTGGGAAGAAGTGAATGAGTGAATCCATTAGCAGTCACCAATGCATTGGCACAAGTCACTGTGTCAGGCTTGCTGGGCTTGAAGGGGCAGGTGGGGCTGCCCTGGGGCAAGGGACCCAGAGTGGGAAGCTGCCTATGAGGGAAGAAGGAGAAAGCCTGGGGCTGCAACCCGCAGGGAGACCTGGCCACACTCAGGACCCTGGGTGACAGCTGGGACAGGGTGCTGCTAATGGGGAAGTGGAGAATGTGCCAGAAGCAGACTTACCTACTTTACAATTTTGCATGGAGCGAGTCCTGAATTTAACTTTCCCAGAAATAAACCTGTCTGCAAACCAGGCAAGGGCTGTTTGTTATGTGCTGCGATTTGCAAGAGCCCCTGTGGTTGTGGCTGGTTCCTGTGCCCACTCTGTCACCTCTCCTCTCAGGCGCAAAATGCCTCAGGCTTGGGCGGAGGTGCGGTCAGGGCAGCTGAGAGCCCTGAGTCTCTGACTCCATGCAATGAAGACCCATTTCTGGCAAATTCCACCATCCAGACCGTCTGAGCAACTCAGCAAATGCCTGAAGATGCAAAGGCCTCTTGTTTCCACCTTCCGGCACGTGCTTGGACCTCCGTGAGCCTTTTGCTGTTCAGAGTTCTACTAAGCCATCTCTTTACATTCTTATGTAATTCTTCCTCCCTGGGAACAGAAAAAGCCTTGTCGTCAGTGCCCCGTGCTGCAAGGAGAGAGGCTGGACTCCCTTCCTCACAGTCGCTCTTGCCTCCCCAGCCAGAGCCCCACCTCCATTCACTTTCTATTTAAAGACTTGCTCTCTTCAAATAAAAAGTTTCAGGAAGATAAAACCAAACAAAGCAAAAGCGAAAGAGAACTCACTAAACGGGAAGGAAGGGGCACACCTCAGGCCTGGGCCTGCCTGCCGCTGAGCTGTGTGGCGTCCCTCAGGCTGGCTAGCCTCTCTGGGTGTCAGGTTTCTCATTTATAAAGTGAAAGGCTCACTCACTTGCAATCCAAAGTTGTTTCAAGCTTTGAAATTTTTGATTCTAAGATTTGGGGAATACAATAGAGTTTCAGATCACTGATCATTTCCAGATCACAAGGAGCTCTGCCCCAGATGGACGAAAAGAGCATCTGGACGGGTGTTGTTCCCTCAGTTCAGAGCCTGAAGTTTGCAAGATGACATCTGATGGACCTTCTTTCACGACTTACCATTTATATGACCTTTATAGTCTTCTAATCAGTCCAACACAAAATCTAAGAATATAGTAGTCGCCAAGCCACACCCAGGGAGAGACCCAGTAATCCCTCTAAGAGAACAATGAAGGAACAAAAGTAAAACAAGATTTACCAATCCTTCTAGAAGGTTGCTTGCAAAAGGAAAAAAATACATGAGAGAATTTTCCTCTAACTTATCTCTAAAACGGACATGAACAAATGGATTCTTCTTCCCCCACAAGGCAGAACTGCAAAAAGTTTTGCCACATCTCTTACGCCTCTGTCATGAGACCAGAGAAGCTGGCGGAGGGGTGGTCAGAACCAGCAGACAGGACACGAAGGGGCATGCCTTACCCATTTACTTCCATTGGTGATCTAGCTTCCAGGGTGTGCTCTGTGATACACAGCACTTATAAAATGCAAATATAAAATGCCTGGGATCAAGGTAATAAACCTCTTAACATGAAGGTAAAAACAAATCAGTACTGTACAACATAAATTGTGGGGAGTCTTCCCTAATGGGATGGGCAAATGTTCTGCCAAGACTGTGATTGTACGAAGTCTTGATTACAAAAGCTATATCTTAATGGGTCCCCCTGCAGAAGAACCGACTGAGTCGAAGAGGAAAATAAAAATCAATCACACTTGTTTCTATTTGCAACTTTACAGTGTTAACTAGTAGCCCCAGGGATGAATCCAAAATAATTCCACGTGTAATTGTAACGGAGTAGACAGCACCTTTGCCTGTTTAATAATTGGTTCCCCATTTCTTATCATTGCCATGGAGATGGACGCCTTGGACCGTAGCGCCAGAGGCATTTCCCCCCTAACTGCATTCTGATCCTCAGAGCAACTCTTGTCGAGGCTGATGGCAAGCACTGTCAAATAGTGTGGTTAACAAGTTGGGGAACAGTGGTGTCAGGTGCAGTCCGATCCTTTCATTAACGTTTTGAGTTCCAAGGCAGTGATTTGAAACCATTTTTAGTCAATGAAATCCGTCTTCAAACAAAATCTAATGCAGAAACCCTGCACATCAAACAGAAAAGTGGAGACGCTCTGGTTGAAGGAAGCTTGGGGAGAGCGAGCGCTCTACTCAAATTCGGTTGGTTCCCAGGGGCCCTCCTGCAGGCCCTGAGATTCTGTGAATGGTTTCAGACTTCTGATCAGAGGAGTTTATCACATTCTGGCCATGATGCTTTTGGGGAAGCAAAAAAGAATGAAACTAAGCTTGACTTAGTTTTATTGGAAAGCTGAGAACAAATCAGTCTATTACTTGAGTTAATAGGCCCACCACAACATACATACATGTTTATAAAAGCAACATTTTACAGACTGTATCACAAACGGACTTCAGCTGGAGTCACCCAAAAGCTCAAATTTGAGTTTTCATTGAGTACAACTTGGAGGAAGGGTAGGGGCACAATTATAATGCAGTCATGTGTCAAAGCTGGCTTGCACCGGCTACTGAAAGCTGTTACCTTCCCAGGGACTTTCCAAGACAATTGTTAAACACCACCACTATTAAAAATTAAACTATGTATCCAGCCAGCAATCACACGTCTTGGTATTTATCCAAATGAGTTGTAAACTTATGTCCACCCAAAAGCTTACACATGGAGGTTTACAGCAGCTTTCTTCATAACTGCCAAAACTTGGAAACCACCAAGATGTCCTTCAATAGATGAATGGATAAATAACTGTGGTAGATCCAGACAATGGAATATTGTTCAGCAATAAAAAGAAATGTGCTATCAAACCATGAAAAGACATGGAGGAAACTGAAATGCACATTACTAAGTGAAAGGAGCCCATCTGAAAAGGCTACGTACTATATGATCCCAACTATATGACATTCTGGAAAAGGGTAACTATGAAGACAATAAAAAGCTGAGTAATTGCTAGGGCTGTGGGAGGACAGATGCATAAGCAGAGCACAGAGGGTTTTTAGGGCATTGACACTATTCTATATGATACAATAATGATGGATACACGTCATTATACATTTATCAAAACCTACGGAATGTACAACACCGAGAGTGAACCCTAATGTAAACTATAGACTTCGGGTGATGAGGATGTGTCAATGTAGGTTCATCAGCTGTAGCAGCGGTACCCTCTGGTGGGGACTGGCAATAATGAGGTGCTGTGCGTGTATGGAGGCAGAGGGTATATGGGAAATCTCTACCTTCCACTCAATTTTACTGTGAATCTAAAAGTGCTCCAAAAAAATAAAGCCTTAAAAAACTAAACGACATAAATTTTAACTAAATAAAGTATAAAAGCAGAGATAATAAACACTCAAAACTCATCACTTCCTCCTTATTTATTACATATCACTAATATCTATGTTCTTATGTGTGCTTACCTCTATTGTGCCTGTAGGGTGGAATTATTACACAATGCTGAGCTGCTGGGCTACTCTTCCTGACTCTGTGTTAAGAGGCCTCTGTTTGGTAGTTTGGAATTAAATCAGCTGTGGTAGGTGCACTTACACAATGAAAATAACTGTATACCAGAATTTTTCACCCGCGAGAGTTCGTCATTAAACATCTACAGCACACCCTTAAAAATGTATACAGTTATTGGGCTCAGATATTAGGATCAGTAACACGTATATATCTGAGGATGCTGACCAAAGTACATCTTTTGAAAAAAGATTATGGAAACACAGATCTTCGTATATGATTAAATGAAGCAATTCACCCTAAAGTCATCCAAAGACCTCTTGAGAATTCCAAGAATTCTCTCTTATTGATGCCAGGAGCTCCAACCAATCTAAAGAATTAAGTCAGTCAAATTTCAAGAAGAAAAATATGCCTCTGGAGCAGTTCTCTTACCATCAGAACTACTCACATCTTGTTCTGAGTGATAGGCTCTAACTGCCAGACTGTTTACTGTAATTAAGTCTATCAGCATGGTTTTCTCCTGATGAAAATAAAGCTTAGTATATTACATCTTTTGCAAAAGGTGTCTTTTATCTCCCATAAATTATAAATCTATGATTCAATAAGAGTACTCTTCAGAACACAATTTTTTCCCCCTCAAGGATATGAAGGACTTTAAAAAATTAATATTGCCCACAAGAGAGAAGCTGGTTGCAGCCACCATTATTTAATTACAAACACTATTATATCCTGGTACATCTCCTCAAGATTATTTAAGTGTGTCTGAAGAATGTGCCCATCTTTCACCAGCCTTTGCCTCTACTGATAAACTACGCACTTTGAAACAGAGTCCAATCTGTCAATGCCTCTTCTGAATTAGTATGATGGAGCTACTGCGCAAACCAAAGATGGAGGCAATCTCACTTGAAACTGGTGTAAGCACAACTGTTTCCTTTTAGCCCAGTGCCTCCTAACCCTAGCTGCCTATTGGCATCCCCAGATGGGTGTGGGCAGACGGCTTAAAGAAGTTCAAGTCCAGATGGGTGTCAAGATGGTGGCATAGGCAGACTCTGAACTTACTTCCTCCCACAGACACAACCAATTTACAACTACTCGGAAAAATTACTCCTGAGAGAGAACTGAAAACTGGATTAAAAGAACCCCCGCAACAAGGGACAGTCCTGACTGAAGTGGAAGAGGCAGAAATTCCTTTCTGGAGAGAAAAAAAGCCACCCTTACAAGCTGTGGTGCTTCATGGCCAGCCAGGAGCAATCCTAAGGTACGCAGCCCTCCCTGGAGGAGTGGGGGACCTGAGTTGGGGATCATTACTGCTATAAGCATCCTTTGGACTCAGCACAACCCAGATGAGTGTCAGAATATCTGGCTTTGCTGGCTATTAACTACAATGGAGAATACCCCCAGAAAAGCTATTGGACATAATGGGGGGAAAAAGCAGACTTTTAAAGGGCCCATGCACAAATTCACCCATTTTGGAGAGCAACCTAACATCGCCAGAAAGAGAAGTGCAGACTCCTTTGATGAAAAGAAGCTCACCATCTTGATGAGAGCTGAGACCTCTCCTGGGACTGAGATATTGGTGGCAGCCAATATTGTGACCCAGTATAGGCGTCCAACACAGATGCCATTGGAGTTCTTCCCCTGGCCTGTTAGCCCAGGGTCTGCCCCACCCATTAAAGTGCTGATTTAGTCCAGGTCAGCCAAGGAAGGCAGCCTGCCCTAGGGACTGGCCCCACCCAACAGCAAACCCTCAGGCAACAGGTGGACCTGCATAGGCTGGGTGCCTGTATTCTCTGCAGCTGGGTGAGTGGGTCCACCTCTTCAGGGTGGGGTGTGCACAAGGAGTGGGTGGAGTGTGTAGGGCACTGGTGGAGTGTGTGTGGCCTTTGCAGTGGGGTGACTGGGTCTGCTTCAGGAGGTTGGGACATGAGCGCAGGGCAGGACTGTGTTGATGGTGTGTGTGGTCTTGTGGGGCTTGTCAGCTGCAGAAGACTTGTGCTGCTCAAACAGCCACATAGGGGATCGACCCCACCTTCCAAAGCCTGAAACAATTGGGTGCTCCTGTGCCCAGGGCCAGCCCCACTCAGCTGCAATCCTGAGAGAGCTGATAAGAGCCTTACAGGTGAGAAGCCTATATCAATTGTAAGCCACTGGGCCAGGCAACCAGCCATGCTAGGGGCCTACTCAACAGAAAAGTGAAGCAGGATGTGATATTA